GACTGTGATATATGGTGAATATTCTCAGATGAGAAACTGTCCAATTGGCTGCCCGGTGGCCGAGTGGGTAGTATGTATGCGTTCTGTCTGTGTTGAGGCCCCAGGTTCGATCCCCAGTTGGGTCAATGGTTTCGTATTACTGTTGGTGCTGCCGCAGCTGCTCAGACCTAATCCGGTCCAAATAGCTGTACAATAGTGCTTCCCAGTTTTTCAGTTCACGTCTCATTTACACGACAAATCGATCACTTAAACAAAACAAATCTTTCATTACCCTCATAGAACCACAAAGCGGTGTTGGAAGTCAACAAATGCACTGTTCAGATCAATTATACATTCCGGTGATCGACCCGAAATTCGAATATTAGCCAAGGCAAAAAGAATAACGTTTAATTTACTCTCTGCCACACGTAGGGTTATCTAAAGTCCCAAACTGAGAATTGATGCAATCTTTTAAATTAACCCATTTCTTCACCAGTGAATTATATATTAACAGACCATTTCTTTATCTAACCGACACTCATTTTCGATCAGACCGCATTTGTCATCTGGTGGCTGCACCAGTCGTTGATTCAATGTGGGTTTGAATTCAATTTTTAAGAAACTGTTGCACAGTACGTGCAGATGCACAAGCATTCCAGATTTTTCGACCACAATCATACCCATGAATGCCGGTATCTGTCATTAAGATGGATTTTTCATCTTCTCCCTTCTATCTTCTATCTTCTGTAAGGAACACGGGTTGTAACAACGAAAAGGTATTGTGAAGCAATCAAAGTATTTTACATTTTACAATGTTAAGGGTTTGATATGGCGGCGGGAGCCTTGCACGATTGGAAAAATAGGAGGTCCCCGAGAAGCCATGTTTTCGCTGATTTCGGACAGCCGACTTTGGAATGATGCAAACGTTTTCCATATATTATATTATATTTACAGGTTAAGACTTAACCAACTATGTGACGGAGACAGCCTGTAGTTTTCTTGAGATACCAACATATAATACAAAAGAACTCAGAGTTTCCGCTGACTAATTCAGGATTCCCAACACATTATGCTTCTCTCTGAAATATGAGCGCTTGTACATTGTCACAACAAATCATATCACGGACTGCTGTGTGTGCCATCTTCATAAGGGTTATCCAATCATTAAGCGGTTTCATGTAGGCATCAGACCGTCATTGATTGAATGCGACGTTGCATGTTAATTGGTCAGTGGATATTACAGAGGAATTTACCAGATGAATACCAATGTATTTTCAGCCGCACTTCGGACCTGATCCTAATCAATGAAGAATAATTTGTTTACCATAACCTGCGTCGTTGTAAGGGTTGCTGCTTTGAGGCCCATTAGACCACTTATTAGTATTGTGAGATACTCACGTGTGAATAGTAAATAATTTTCAATGATCAAAAATATAACAAGACCACCGAGGGCTATATGATGTTTCTGAAAAAATAACTACCGACTACCCTATGCATTATTCCATGTGCCGCTAGGAGGGGTTCTCAAGAGTGATCTGTTTCATACTTGCCCACCCTGTCCAATTGGCTTTCTGAGATAAGCCATGTATTTGATTCACTCATTTCTTCCCACGTAATGAGCTACAACTTGAAACGGAAATATATTACTTGCTGGAACTGTCAGTCAGAATAAACAACACAATTCGTTTTGCTGAATGCGTTTCAGGTCTCGATAGTAAATAGTTTTTATTTACGCAAATGACTTAAGTTTGAAGACGAAACATTTCCTTGGCCTTCTTGTATTTACGAATCAAGTCTAGCTACGCATACACGAGGATCGATTTATGACTCAGTGCAAATAACCCAGACATATAGTGCACGAGTATTCTAAGAATGGTATACCATTATGTTTGCCTATGCAAAAACCATCCGCACCTGATATCTTCTCTTGGACGGTCTTATTTTCAAACCGGAACCCAGGTTTACACAGTGGGTGCCACTGATTTTCTTCTACTCTCAATCGAAAGAACAATAAAGGTTTGAAAACTATTCGCGGATTAATTACTTTATTGGTCAACTTGCGGATTTTCACTAAAGTGCCTAACGTTTCCTACACGTTGAAAAACTATTCAAAATCGGTCCTTATAGCTCGGGTGGACAACATTTTTCACCGCTTTACCCGTTCCGCATCAGAAAAGCCGTGTGGGGAAATTAAGGCACACGGTCACGTGAGAATAGGCCGGTGGTTTGGCCAGTATATGCAATTGATTAATTTTGATCCACGGAATGGATCACGTGAATGTGTTCATTGGCTCGTGTGCATCAACCTGTCCATTCGAGTGATTAGTTAACCAATAGCAGATACGCGCGTACATAGGATGATCAACAAGGAAAGGTTTGCAAACGTTTAAATCGTAAAGCTTCGTGAACAACGAAATTTACTTTGGTTTCCTACGCGTATTTGAAAGTTGTGGAGGAAACTTACTTTCTGGTTGATTCCATTGGAATATTGGAACTGAGTTTCAGAAAAATGGTTCCTGAAAGGCCGGTTGGGTAGGTGGAGATTGGGGGGATAAAATCGTATTTTGTCAAATTTGAACTTCATTCAATGAAACTTACCAATCAAAATTACATCAGTGCCCCCGAAATGATTGAAAGATTATTTATAATAGAACAGCAATAGTATTCATCGGTAAGGAAATATTTAGGTCTGCATGACAAATTCCTGAAAAACGTATTGCATTACCTTGTTTGCCTACCTGTTGGCGGTTGAAAGAATCTCAGCGACTGATACCACAAAGCTCCGTATTCGTGAAACCGACTTCGACTGGGGTCCTTATTAAGATCTTCGGGTATCTAGTTGAGANGAGACATATTCGGTTGCCTAATTGTGAGCAAGACATCATTCAAACAATGGGCAGGACCACTTTGTAAACGTCACGTTGATTGTAACTCACCGTTGCATAATTCGAACAGGGAACATTTTGAAACCGCTCGGCTGTAAAGTGAGTACAAAAATGAATTACACGAATGGGGATACAAAGTTCAGTAAGCCGATATGTTCACCAGTTGTTGCACTAAATTGCTGAATAATATGTGAGTGGTAAACCATTCGTTATCTTATACTTAGTGAGCTGATTGCTAATAAAATTATTGCGTACATTGTGGCTGAAGGTATGACATGGAGGCTGAAAAATTTAACCCGGAAAAGCCTGTGTGTTAACGAAGTACCTTTCGAATCGCATAATAATAATAATAATATCTTTTTTATGACACACCCAAGTGTAATGAACAGCAGAAGGGGCGAACCCAATAGTTAAGAGTAGTGGAAACCGCAACCTAAGCCCCGGGACTTGGAGTGGCGAACCGCGTGAGGCCCCAATAGGTCAGGCGTGGTATTGAACCGGACCACAGTAGAGTTACCCGGTACCAAAAACGAGTGATGGTGGCGGGGCTCGAACCTCGGACCATAGGGTCCAATGCACGCGCCACCAGCAACACTTCCTCCTTTATTGAATATACAAGTGCATAATCACCTTTCAGGTAGGGGGCCACGACCATCCAAAGGCTGCCTTGGAGAACACCGAAACGGAGCAGATGGGCGGTAGTGGAGCGGGTCCAACCTGGGACTTCCGGGTCAACATCTGAACGACCTTAACCACATGACTACCACCACCACTCTGGGAACTCAGTCGGGTCGTGATCATCAGGCAAGACACATATTATTGTATTCAGTTGTACATTCACATACAGAGCGTTTCGGAATGTGCAACAGATAGGAAAATTCACCTCCTGAACTTTCACCCTTGGATCGGCTGAGTGGGGATATGTTCAACACACGGTTTTGACGCATGTGGCGGACACATCGACGCAAGTCGAGACAAATGGAACCCCGTCACACTGGTGTGTTTGTGTGTGTATGTGTGGACTAACGCGCAAATCGGTGCCAGAGCCCATTCCAATTGTGATGAATACTGTTCGCTCAGTGCTCTGCAACGTTCATTCAGATGTTCGATCTTCTTCGTGGTTCAAAGGTGAGCCAAGTTCATACATTGAACGCGCGCTTCAATCTTCCCCACATAAGCTTATCTGATACGGAACGCGTAAATCGTTGACAGATGATGTCAATCGGGGACTTGATATCCGTTATGTTTTGTCATCACATCTGAGTTGAGGCCATCAAAAGACATTATCATCCAATTGGCACGCACGCAGAAAGCAGTCCAGTACAAGAAACAAACCAAGAACAGCAGAACTGAGCTCACTGTACGGAATGAAGGATGTTCTACAAATGGAATCTGTAACGGTGGTTTCCAACTCAGACGGTCACGTGCACTCAAATCCACACGCACGTGCACACGTCATCCAGCGAGTCATCGATCCATTTGACTGACACAGGCTTGAGCCTGCCGGTGAAGGCATACGTACATATGAGGCTCCTAAACCCATGTCGTTTGACCTTGGCATGTCTGCCTAAACATCGCGCAGTGCGCGAGTTTCACCTGGGATTGCACATGGTGCACGAAATAATGTCATCTCCACTCAACCTTCTCGGCACCATTTCAGTGTAACCAGACCAACCAGGTTGTTGGAATATGGCCTGATGATTCACTGCAAGTGGAGAAGCCAAATGGATTCTGACCACAACTTCGATGAAATGAATTATCGCGGAACACGAGCACCTGGGGGTTGAGAAACGCTGATTCCCCGACTTTCACTGTGGTCAGTACAATGTACCGTGTAGTTTGCAACATAAGTTGAATGTATTATGCCTCAATGCTGTTAATCGAGTTCTTGTCGAAAAAATATTTATTATATAATAATACTAATAATAATAATAATAATAATAATAATAAATTATTTATATCACAATTTAGGGGAACCACGATCATCAAGGTTAAGTCCATTTATCATTTGTGGCATGTCGTTCAAGACGATCAGAACTCAAGTAAGGAGGACTGGTGGATGGGAAGGCAACATTAGTAATCATCTTTGAAACGTTGACCAAACTGAGCAACTATTTCACAAGACTGACCACATACCTGCGGAGCGATTCCGGACTGGAAGAGAGAATTCCACATCCCAGGTGGTATTCTCCGTGGCATTGATCACCGCTTCGGGTAGTTCTGCAAACAGTAGGCAAGAGTATCTTTTCAACATGCAAGGCTCTTTGGAATATATACGTCAATTCTATAGAAAATAATTGTAGATTTTTGTTCCGATGCTAACCAACTGAAGTAACCTTTCATTGTACGACAGGAATGTTATATCACTCAAGTGTGAACCACGATTGGAATGTCTGATGAACTATGAAGTAAAGGAGATGGATCTTGTGTTATACTAGAACTGATCCCTAACCCAATAAAATGTGGGTTAGTTTTTTTTCCTATTTCATCTTAGGAAAGATTTTATTTAACCATCCTTTGCTATTTTTTAATGAGAGAAGTATAAGATAACCTAAATTTAGGGTTGATATTTGAAATAAATTCTAAATTGGATAGCAAATAGTTTTATTCAAACTCCCTTGGTGCTGTCTAGTTCCACTAAGAAAGATAAGCATATACCTTGCCGACCTTAATCACACTCACGGTGAGTGTGCCAAACTCCTCGGTCAGGTTAAAGCTGCTTAGCCCATGGTCTCAATGGTTTTCTGAATTAGATTTAACCCGTATACTTCAACTGGGGTCAAATACGCACTGCAGCATATGCCTTGCTTCGAGGTGATGCGTAGTATATTTCCGGGCGCTGATCGATTACTATTTTACCGGAACCAAATCAGATCACTGGCGTTGTAAGAAGATTCGCGGACACCGAGACTTGGATATCTGACAACGATTAGGTACTTACAAGTCATTTGCAGGCTCTCAGCGTTGCTCTGGGAGAGGTAATTATTGTCATTTTATCACTTACTCAGTAAAAAATACCGAAGGACCGTTAAAATACCTTTATAATGGAAACATTTCGCTGGAGCCCAGTCGTAGAAATTAACCGTATCCATTAAGAACCTCCTTTCCGTAAGACGAATAACTCCAAACCCGATGAGATTACTAGAAATACACATGCGGAGATGTATTTCATTGTTCTAATTGATGTCTTCTGCCTCACGGTTAAGTTTATATGTGCTGATCTTTGGCAGTAATATCTAACTAAATACCGTCACCATGGGTACGCATCAACAATGTGCTTGATGCTTACGCATTTTAGGCAGATGGGAAAGGCATGGCTGGTCTACGCTCCGAACAATGAAGCTCCAAAGCGGTCCTCAACACGCAGAAAACGCGGCCGTCCACGCATACGTGGTAGAATGAGTTTTCCACCGTGCTCTTCAGCGGTTTATCGTTGCAGTTCTTCAAGCCAAGGTAGCTTGCTGATTGCCGAAACTGATCAGATCATCTTCCGAACATTCACACTTTTCCTTCATTGATCACTTTATCGATATGCATTGAAATTGATCGCCCGATGCCAGTTGTTTGGGAGCGTATTCCGGTTGCAAATACGAACGAGCAGCAAAGCATTTGTGCCTAAAGTGACCTCAAAAGTAGTCGATGATTGGACAGATTAGATGGTATATGGAGGAGAATAATCCACTTCAGAAGCGGCCTTAAGCTGCGACTTCATGCAGCCAATCGTTTCCACCGTAACCGTGCATCACACATCATACTTCAGAACGCTCAATGATAGGTCACAGTCGAAAACTTGGATTAATTAGCTTCCTTAGGAATTTCTTACGAATTTGACCTCTTTAAATAGTATGCGTGTTGTAAACGATTCGTAGACCTCTGGGCAAAAAATTGCAAACTTCACNCCGTAGCACAGATGGCTTGTTGTTCCAAATGGTTGCTCCAAACGGAACCAATTGGAAGGTGTACAGTACAGCAGATCGAACGAACTCCCCATTGCAAACAGTTGTGGCAATTGCAGTGTATACAGGTCACACCAAGCAGATTGTTGAACGTACGATGCACGTCGCACAACATCCCCCCTCCCTATGATACACTAGAATGAATAAATAACTATAAATATAACCAAACAATCAGACGACATCATTGTTCTGTTAATTTCTTCGCAGCGGAATTCGAATGGACTGTCTAACTGTGTTAAAAGTGCCGATACGTGACCCGTGCAGTCTCGGTTCAAACGCAATCAAAACTAAGACCGCTAATGAATTNTTTTACAGTGCTCATCGCACACATGCGAGAAACCGATTTCTTATCAAAATGAACTTCGTTTTTTCCAATTGATTTTTCCGTGGATACCGTGTACAAGCAAGAAAAGGTGCGAGAAAACATTGGAACATTTGGCTCACAAGCATTGGTCATCGATAACCCGCAAATCAGCATCGTTTGGTCACGAGACCAACAAGGGAACGAAAAAAATATCCGGCACCGGATTTACTCACCGTTAACGATATATTTCGTTCCATAATACGGTTCCTTTTGAAAATAATTTGCTCTCTCCTTGTCCAATTCTAATTCGTGTGAGCACTGAACCACACAGCAATTTTGTGATGCCAAAGTGGACAGGACTTGATGATAGACCTGCGTGTAGCGGAGCGTATGAAAATCAGAGAATGTAGCACCGAAACCAGTTTCACTCCAGTCACTATATATTGTGACAAACACTTTCAATGAATGGAATGTACCTCTGTATTATTATTATATTCTCCAATTCGTACAAATCTTAGGTTACACGCCCACCGTGATTTTACAATAACCGTAAAATTCCAATAGTAGCTCTTTGAATAGACATTCTGCATACATGATGGATGAGCTTAAGTTTTCCGGATCCGCAGTGTATACGACGAGTACGAGGTGTAGATGAGTGCGCAAGGAAATCTTAAACTGCAATCAATTGTAAAACATTGTTCAGACTATTCATAGAACCAAACATCAACACAGCCGTACACAGCTCAACAGTCATAATGGTCCATATACTTGAATTGTAAGGATGGGACTCCGTCGATGTCACCGGAGAGCAATGATGTTCTACGACTTCAAATCTGATTTGAAACATGAGAAGCCCTTAATGTTGATCGTTTTCGAGCTGTCTTTGATGATGGCGTGCCTTCAAGAATCTTTTTGTTCCCCTAATGTCTAACGCATGATGCGCGGAGTCCGATATCAGCCGTGAACAGATACAGGGGATGCGTTTATAGAACTGCTCAAAGCATTACCCGCCTCGGCATTGTCTCGCTGTTTCACCAAGTGATTTGAGGTCATGGAACTGTGTGCGTGTGTGAACGCTGATGAAACATACTTCAAGGAAACGTAATGCTGACTTTGGTGTCAGAAAAAACACTTTTTTCGCACCCGCAAACATCTTGACAACCCTCGCATTATAGTGCAATCACGTGAATGACCAACTGGTATCTTTCTGTCAGTCAAACCAAATGTGAATGTTTTTTGGAAATAAATATCAGCCCCGGTGTGAGCTGGTCGGCGCAATAGTAACACACATACACACACAAGTCTTCCATGCGATGGATCCAGAGTTCGAAACCCGGAGAGAGACACTCGAGTTCAGCGATTCTAGGTGTGTATGGTTGGTCGGATTTATTGAGAATCAGGCTTGATCAAGAAGTTTGAAGGATGGTCAGTTCGCATCAATATAACCTATTCCATATTACTACTTACAAGTAACTATAACCTAAACACGAACTAAAGGGAATTGTCAAAAACCGGGTATTTTCTCATACGTTCAAAGGTTCTGTGGCAATCGTGATAAGGTCAGTAATATTAGGAACAATAATACAGGAAGAAATTGCAATGAGGTCACTCTGTAAACAATTCCGTTTTCTTTCAACGATGTGTGAGGGAATATAGCGGTGATTTCCAAANTATATATATATATATACAGGTCTGATCGAAACTGAAGCAACAGGTCCCTGTGAAACACTTCTGTGTTCGTATAGGCAACACTATTTATACAAGAGTAAAATTTCTTCCAAATAATAATAAACGAGCCTTGGTGAGTCTTTATAGCATTGATTTTCCTGATTCGTTTATACTCCACAGATGGAATAACTCAGAATGTACAGGATACTCTCATTTCATCAGTAGTGGTTGACCTACAGCATGACGAGTTAGGAGGTAAGTTAAGGGAATTGAACAGATTTTATTTACAACAAATTAACATTGATAATAACTAGGATGTAAAGTTTATGTACACTAATAGTCGATTGGTATGCCCTTGTTCTTAAGGACTTTTTCGAGTCCCTCCGGCATGGAATCCACCAACTTTGTGATGAAGTCATTTTCTATTTTGTGCTCCATTACGTATCGCACTTTCGCCTCCAATGTCCAATGTGTAGGTAACCCATTGACCTCTCTCTTAAAACAGAAAACAGATTTTCAATCACGTTGAGATCCGGGCTATTAGGAGGGAGTTGCATGAACTGAACCTTGGAGTCACGCATCTTTTCTGAAGTCTAAAAGTAAATAATAAATTACCAGACTCCTTAACTAAATCAATTTACTAACCTCTCGTGAAACATGACACGGAACGTTATCCTGAAAAACGATAACTTTTCCAGATGACTTTTTTCATGAAATTCTGGAAACGACGGGTGAGAAACTCCTTCATTTGGTGGAATAAGTCCTTTTGGGAAATTCTCACCACAAATGACTTTTTTGTGAGCCTTCCAAGGCTCGTCGCACATCATACACTCGTCGGCGAAATAAACCGATCTCCAAAATGATACACGACGAGATTTGAATTCTCGGGCAAAATCAATACGCACCTGCCTTTTGTGCGCGTTCAATGCTGGCTTTACGTCAGCTGAAACCTGACGCATCTTAAATTTTTTCATTCTTCTTTGCAAAACGGAATATGAATGGCTGGGAAGATCTTCCCGTTGAATTGAAGACGACAACGTTTTTCGGCAATGTTTTTTCAGAGTAATACTAAGTAGGTCGTCCTCCTGTCTGAATGTACTCGGTTTATGGCCTCCACAAGCTGTTCTGATTGTGGTTTTCCCATTGATTATCTTATAAATTGTACTTTTGTTAACGTTAAAGCATTGGGCAAGATTTGATATCGAAAATCCCAGCTTGTGTGCTCGTGCAATTCTGTTTCTGTCCTCTTCACTGAGATAGCGAGAACGTTTGGTTTTGAGCGATGCTTGCTTCATTATGACGACAGCAATACGAACATTCAAAGCT